CGCTGACATATACTTCAGTCTTTTTCCTATGCATGCACAAAATTACATATTTGTGGTGTTTGTTTTTTTTTTCAAAATTGGAATCACACAATCCATGCAGCTTGGTAACTTGCTTTTAAAAACTTTAATACTGAATCACAAACATTATTGCTTGCATATTTTTTTCATTATGTGAAATTACCATAATTTATCTTTTGTTGGATACATAGGTTGTCCCAAATTTTCAATGATATACTATTGTCAATAATGTACTAATGATCCTTCTTTTACATTAATACTCTACCCACATCGTTGATGGTGTCTAAAGGATTGGTGCTTCTCCCAGCCAGGCAGGCATCCCTAGAGCAACCTCTCTTCCAGGCTGGGCTGGGGGTGGAAGGAAGGAGAGAGAGTGAGAGTAAATGCCAGGGCACTCTGTCTGGTGTTCTGGAGAAGAGCTTGGACTTTGGCTTGTCTCAGCAGAGGACTCAATGTCTGCACAGGAGAGAGGAGAGTCAGAGAAATGCATGCCATGTAACTCAGCCATTTTATCCTTTTTTAAAAAAATCATTTTTGTTTATATTTTTTAAAAATATATTTTATTGATTTCAGAGAGGAAGGGGGAGAGAGAGATGAAACATCAATGATGAGAGAGAATCATTGATCGACTATCTACTGCAGGATCGGGAATCGAGCCTGCAACACGGGCATGTGCCCTGACCATGGAATCAAACTGTGGCCTCCTGGTTCATAGGTCAACGCTCAACCACTGAGCTATGCCGGCTGGCTGGGCATAACTCAGGCAATTTTAAATTTGCCAATCTCTCGACCAGGCCCAGCTGTTTCATGCAATTTACACTGACCATCTCTGTTCCCATACATGCAGAGCAGCATCTTGACTGGTCTCTGGGATACGCAGGAACATATCTAGTCAGTAATAGGAAATACATTCATTTAATACTTATGAGGCAAGAAAAATATTTATTCATTCATCTTTGAACACCCTCCCCCACCAAACTTAGTAAATAGATTATAAGTCCCATGAGGGCAGGCATGTATCTACTTGTCTGCCATTGTATCCTTAATGCCACGCACATTGGCTAGCACAGAGCAGATAATCAATACATATTTGATGAGTAAAGAAAAAATATTAGAGACATTATCTCAATCCAACTGCCAATTGGGTCTTGGCCCTGCTTTCTTCTAAAGGAGACTGGGCCCATATAGGTTTACTTCTTCAATCCTATTGGCTAACTTAGGGAGCAGTAGTCTGTACTTGACCCAGGTACTGGGGACTGCGCTTTTATTGTGTGTTGAAACTTGCTGAATTCAACTTGTGTTGAATCTCTAGGCCTGCTGTTTGATACAGTATTCTCCTGGGAAATGAACCCAGTGGGAAAGAACCATTTTCCTCCTGATATGCATGGTCTTTATAAATCCTTCACTAGTGGATACTATTGTATTAACATTTTAAGCTTCAAAATATTAGACTATTGTGATGGATGACCAGATTTCTCAGATGACTTCTAGAAGTAGCCTCAATTAATAAAATAATAGAATTTTATTCATTCCAACACTTATTGTGCACACCCCGGGTGTTAGCTTTGTTTTGGATATAAGAAATGAATATAGAAGAAGAGATGCTCATAGATACACATATAAGTGCATAATTATCCTGCAGTGTCATAAATGACCTAACACATAGCGGGGACTTTATTTATAACTGGGTAAGTACAGGGCGCTCTAGGAGCACAAAGGAGAAAGCTACTTGCTATTTCATCTCCGTGAAGCTAGGGGAGATTTCATGAAAGTGAGCTTAGTTTTCGATGGGGTTTGAAGGATGGACATGAGTTCATCAGGCAGAAAAGCGGGGGTAGCAGTTTAAAACAAAGAGAGTCACACAAGGAAAAACGCAGAAGGGCATGGTGCATCTGGGACAAGTGAAGCCTTCACAGAGGTTGGAGCATAGCGTATTTGCAGGGAGATTGACTGTAGAGGTGCACTTCAGATGCATAATCAGGGAGCCAGCTAAAGAGTAGCTTGTACTTTGTTGTGTAAATAATGAAGGTGTTGACAAGGAACATTTATCCTTCAACCATTAGTATCATCAGGCCCAATTAAGACATTTCCTTCTGATAGAGGTCCATTAAGAAGACCAAGAAGACTTCATTTTCTTCTCAGTTGAGTTTTAGACTTTGTTACATCCTCTCTTTATCCTGGAGGCGTAATGGTCTAAGCGCCCCTTAATTTTCCAGTTTCACCTTTTGTTCATTTATTTGTTTTTATAGACAAATTCTTTTCAACAATTGTTTGTCCTGCAGATGTTTAGTTAGAAGCCAAAGCTGGGCTCAGTGATTAGACCAGATCTAACATACAGTGGGGACTGATTATGGAATTTATTCCACAATATGGTCTCTTTTTCATCATAGGCAGTCAGAAAATGAACACATGAGACCAAAATCTACATCAAATCTGAATAGTAGTACAGAGGGGAACTCATTTCCTCAAAGCCCTTAGAAAATTCCATAGTATTTTTGGGGATGTTTTAGCCAAGTTAAGGTTATGAGAGATGTAGAAAAGGGAAAATGAAATAGAAGACATTGGTATCATTGTAGTTACCAAGAAGAAAATTCTAAAAGTAACATTTCAGAAAAATATGATAGGCCGGGTACAAGTTAATATCAGATACTCTAAATTTATTTTTAAAACTCCTATGTATAGTTTATCTATACTTTGGCTTAATTACATAAATACATTTTTTTTTCTCTGAAATATACAAATGTGTGTTGGCTTTGAACTTACTATTCTCAGAACCGCCAGTTACTAGTATCAGAGTTTGCCCTCTAGGGTCTTTCAATTTGTGTACATTTGACTTACCATGTAAGTTATCATTTTTGCAGTTCTGATGTCAATTTCTTTTTTTTTAAATTAAATCTTTATTGTTCAGATTATTACATTTGTTCCTCTTTTTTCCCCCCATAACTCTCCTCCTCCCAGTTCCCGCCCCCCCTCCGCCCTCACTCCCCACCCACTGTCCTCATCCATAGGTGCACGATTTTTGTCCAGTCTCTTCCCGCATCTCCCACACCCCTTTTCCCCCCAAGAATAGTCAGTCCATTCCCTTTCTATGTCCCTGATTCTATTATAATCACCAGTTCATTCTGTTCAACAGATTATTTATTCACTTGATTCTTAGATTCACTTGTTGATAGATGCATATTTGTTGTTCATAATTTGTATCTTTACCTTTTTCTTCCTCTTCCTCTTCTTAAAGGATACCTTTCAGCATTTCATATAATCCTGGTTTGGTGGTGATGAACTCCTTTAGCTTTTCCTTATCTGTGAAGCTCTTTATCTGACCTTCAATTCTGAATGATAGCTTTGCTGGATAAAGTAATCTTGGTTGTAGGTTCTTGGTATTCATCACTTTGAATATTTCTTGCCACTCCCTTCTGGCCTGCAAAGTTTCTGTTGAGAAATCAGCTGACAGTCGTATGGGTATTCCCTTGTAGGTAACTGAGTTTCTTTCTCTTGCTGCTTTTAAGATTCTCTCTTTGTCTTTTGCTCTTGGCATTTTAATTATGATGTGTCTTGGTGTGGTCCTCTTTGGATTCCTTTTGTTTGGGGTTCTCCGCGCTTCTTGGACCTGTAAGTCCATTTCTTTCACCAGGTGGGGGAAGTTTTCTGTCATTATTTCTTCAAATAGGTTTTCAATATCTTGCTCTCTCTCATCTTCTGGCACCCCTATAATTCTGATGTTGGTACGCTTGAAGCTGTCCCAGAGGCTCCTTACACTATCCTCGCATTTTTGGATTCTTTTTTCATTCCACCCCTCCGGTTGGGTGTTTTTTGCTTCCTCGCATTTCAAATCATTGACTTGATTCTTGCGCTCCTCTGGTCTGCTGTCGGGAGTCGTTATTTCAGTCCGTGTATGCTTAATTTCTAGTTGGTTCCCCATCATAACATCGAGGGTCTCATTAGTTTTCTTGTACATCTCATTAAGTTTATCGGAGGTTTCTAAACAGTTCTTGAGAGACCTTAAAAGTGTGGTTCTGAACTCTATATCTTCCATTGACAATTTTGTCCTGTTTCTTTGTCTCCGCATTTTGTTATGCTTTCTTGGTGCACCCCCTAGTGGTCTTTGTGCACAGTCTTGTAGTTAAGCCTTGATTGTTGTAGCTAATACCAGGGAGGGTTTGACCTCCAGGCCAAGTGGCTGTGAGAATCAGCTGTGTCTGCAGTGAGAGAACTTCTGTCCTCTAGGGAGGTGCTAATCTAGCCTTTGCCTGAGGCTATCCGGCAAATGCCTCTGTGCAGGGCTTGGGCGGGGCGGGTCGCACAGGATCAACAGGGTGGGCCGGAGAGAGCAGTTATGGCGGCTCTCAGTCCTGTCCCCAGGGGCTCTGCCTCTCAGAGTCCCAGCAACCGCTGCAAACCTCAGAGAGAAAGCTGCACTCGCTCTGACCGAAGCCAGACAGTCCCGCTTCTCCCGTTTGAGTCTGGGTCCCTAAAGACTCACCCGTATCTGGAGCTCAGAGTCTGTGACTCCCTCCCGATTGAAAACGCCAACCGCGCCCTCCGCCGCCAGCCCGTTCCGTGCACTCCGCACCTCAGAATTTGACTTCAGCACTGCGCCTCCTCTGAGTGTCTGTATGCATTTCTCTTTCCTCCTAGTTGTAGGACTTCCACTCAGGCAGCGTTCCTGTGGTTCTGGGTGATGTCCGTTCTGTCTTTTAGTTTCACTTTTGAAGTAGTTGTTCAAGGCAGCAAACTCCGGCGTTAACCTATGCCGCCATCTTGGTTCTCCCTGATGTCAATTTCAATTCAAAGGGTTCAGATGTATGCATCAATGTTTCTGCCATTGTTCATTTCTTTTTGTCAGTATTTTGTAAAATAACATCCCATTGTGGAAGGTGAAATGAATAGCCTGTAACATAGCTAGTTAAGTTAAAAAATAAAAACAAGAAAACTGTAGGACTGAGAAAATGTCTATCAACTGATTTCCCTTGTTTGTTTTGCAGCTGACGATGGCCAACATTGGAATAAATGGAAATCATTCGAAGGAGACCTGTGAAACAACACTTTTTGCTCTTCGAATGGCAACATGGAATCAAATTTTAGATCCGTGGGTGTATATTCTTCTGCGGAAGGCAGTCCTGAAGAATCTCTACAAGCTTGCCCGACGCTGCTGTGGCGTGCATGTCATCAGCTTACATATGTGGGAGCTTAGCTCCATTAAAAATTCCTTAAAGGTTGCTGCGATTTCTGAGTCACCGGTTGCAGAAAAAGTAAATCAGCAATCACCTAGTTTAATAGGACAGCAAGTCAGTGTAGGTATGGGACAAAATTAAGAAACGTTTTGGCAATATTTTAATTAATTGGATAACTTTTTAAAGCCTAACTGGAATATTCCGGCCTCAGCAAGTAGTTTGGGGGGCACTTAGGTCAGATTCAGCTTTTGAAATTTGTAAAATTAGCTGTTTAATTGCACATTTTCACTTTGTTTTGTCAACTGCAGATAAACACAATGAAATAATGCCATGGAAGTCAAATTGAAAACAATTTTGGGCTTACCTGGGTTATTTCCTGCTTTTGGAATGAGTGACTCTGTTGAGTCCTAAAGCATTCACTTGGCCTGTTTGCCTAAGAGCATCTTAAAACTACCTGCACCATGAAATGGCTATTTGGGGTCCCTGCTCCGTAGCTGTTCCTTATAGACTAGGCTTCATGAAATGAAGCCCTCTTGATTTTTGATCTGGCCTCATCCTGTGACCTCAGCCAATATAGGCATGGTCATGTCACATGGGAATCACCGTGGCTTATTATAATGACCTCTGTATACACCAGGTGTGGCTGTCAGGTTGCCTGGTCTTGCGAGCCTGTTTAGAATGTGTCTATCTTTGTCATATTTGACAAATGTGACTGCTAGCATTGGTTATTATGAAGGCGAGTGGTTTTCTTGGTAAGTTGTAGATTTGCCTGGTTTTCAAATAATCACCCTTTCCTCTGAAAATATTCCAGTGCAAATAAATAATTTTTAGAGAAACAAAGGCTCTGTCTTAGCACATATGGAGGCGATTTGCACTATTGCAGTTCCTGAGAAGCTCTGCCATGGATCATGCAAATGGAACTTCAACCCAGTGGTAGGTGCAAAGAAGCTTGGCAAAGGCACTCTATTCTGAGCTGTCATTTCTGTGTCAGAGAACAAGAGAAGCACAATCTATATATAAATATACAAAGACAATCTACAGGTAGTGTGTTTTTGCTTTCCACTTCTCTCTCTCTCTCTCTCTCTCTCTCTCTCTCTCTCTCTCTCTCTCTCTCACACACACACACACACACACACACACACACACCAAAGGACATCAGAAATTTCTGTTGAAAGCAGCTTCATTAAATCTGTAAGACAGAATCTTCTAAAGCTGGAGCTACCAGTGTTAAAGGGAGGATTGGCAATCAGCCAGGCATTTGGAGCTCATTACAATGGTTAACCAAGAGATCAAAGGGTAATAATCTTTCCCCAAATTTCTCATGAATACTTTAGACTTTTTCTTCACTTGTTTGTATAATTCAACCCATGGAGTTTTAGTAATCCTTCAAAAAGTCCTGGGTCCATCAGACATCAGAGCATAGGCAGGTAGTTCTGCTTTATCACAGAACTGTAAAAGAATTCATTGTCTTCATTAACTGGGGTATGTTTTAAAATTAATCTTTCCTGTGATACTGATTTCAGATTCTCCAGGAAATTTGTGCAGTTCAACTAGACTTAAATTACATTCACAGGTTTTTGCTTTTGATTGGTAATGTACATTGGAAGTTATTGTCTACTTTTGTGAATTTTGGAAAATTCTCATGAATAAGTTAAAATAAATTAAGCAAATAGTCTCACTGAAGACTTAAAGGCAAGCATTTTTTTTCCAGTGAATTTAAAGGGAAACGCATATATACACACTGACACATATATTCTCAATATAAGAATAGTAAATGATTAATCATACAAATTTAGTTTATTCTCATTTATAGAGCACACAGTAGATGCTCGATAAATACTTGCCTAATTAAATCACAAGAATTCTTGGTATGAAATAAGCATGGAATTGCAAAGATTTTGTACATTTTTAATTTAAATTGACAATGACATGTTTATTGTGAGATATATGTGCATATATTTGTGTATGTATGTATATATATCTCCAGTGTATATGCTTTAAAAAAGCCATTGCAATTTATGATTGCTGTTATATTATATAATGTTCTCTTGTGTTTCAAGAGGACTTAAAGCCCAGAAGACCTTTGAGATGGTTCAGAGATGATATCTATTTCTTACAGCTGCTTAAGAGCGTGGGTGTACTGTGAACCGAGGCACAGGGAACCAAAGCTCCATCCTTCTTCCTTATGCTGGGTAGGAGGCTGCAGCGACCTGGGAGAGGTGTGAGGGAGAAACTCATTCAGAGTTCCAGTCCTCTTTTTCTTGAGACTTCTTCTAATTGCATGGCATAATTGTTGTTCTATTGCTGTGATGCCACCCTGGCCACTGTGTAACTCTATGGAGAAGATTCTAGGACACGACCATATGTGGAAATGCATGAACATGCAAGGTTTGGGAAGTGACAGGAGACTCACTCTGTGCATATCCAGGAAGGATTACCTATATTATTTGAGCACAGGTTCAGGAAAACTAAAGTGTTTTATGATGATGCTAAATCCAAGAAATAGACACCAAAAATTGGAAATAAGTTTAGTAAAAGAAAATACGTTTACATTGTTTTAGGCTTCCACCCAAGGAAATGAAGTGAATACAACCATGTGCATATCTGACTTCAGAATTTTATTCCTGTTATTATGCATATTTCAGTGTAGTTAGTAATTTATTGTATTATGAATAATAGAGTGAAGCATTCACTAACTTTCATATAAATGTTCAAAGCAGAAGCATATTTGTTCAGATTACTAGACATAAATAGTACAAATAATGTTCAACCAGTTTACCAATTTTGTCTTTTCAAGCCCTGTTTTAAAATTCATAATTAGACCAGAGTAACTATATTTCCCTTGTCATTGAGTAAAGTAGTATCTAAGCAACTTATACTATTTGTCATCTTATTTCTGGGGAATTATATTATTATGGGCAAATGACTTGAAAGTGCCAAACTTTTCCTGAGGTTAATGAAGTCTAAAAAAATAAGACCAAAGAAAGAAAAAGAAAAAGAATCCAATAGAAAATGGGTTTTTATAATTATGTATACAGAGCCAGATAATGCTGACTCATAATTAGCCATAGATGCATCCCCAACACCAGACTTTTTACTGGTGGATTTAACTCAGTGATAGAAATATGCTTTTTGATTTTTTTTTCTAAAGGCAGAAACTTGTTTCTACTTATCTGTATTGCAAAAGTGGAAGATACTTTAAATTTCACACACACACACACACACACACACACACACACATCTATGTAACAAATGGTCTTGTTTGTCCATTTTCAGACTTTAAAAAAACATGCCTTAGTTGTGTGTCTAATCTTAGAACCCAAGTAAGAGCACTTGTTTAATACATAGAGTGAACTTTCTGTAAAACTTGCTCGCTACACTCACCTGTATTGTCATCATTGTTCCAAATTAATAAACTGCCTAAGGTCAAATACATAGAATGTAAATATACGTTTTCTTACTTCTTCATCTGGGTGTCAGGATATTTTACCATCTAGTAAATAATGTTGGACTTCAACTTGTTACTGACATAACTTAGATGAATGTCTTCTGTGAATAGATGTACTTTGTGCTCTTCAGACTTGTTGGATTGTGTAAGGGAGTAGCTACTGATATGCATATTTTGAGGCTTGCATTAGTGTGCCACTCATAATTTTCATGTGTTGACCAGTTTAAAACTTCAAACAAATTATTTTATAATAAACTTGGACTGGTATTTATCAAGAGTGGTTATTTTTTAGGAAAGTCATATAAAAGTTGGAACTCTTGAAACTAAACTCCCATTTTTATTTGCTATGCCAGTGATTTTCAACCATTTTCATCTCATGGCACACATAAACTAATTACTAAAATTCTGTGGCACACCAAAAACTATTTTTTTTGCCTATGTGACAAAAAATAGGAATAATTTTGATTCATTCACACTGGACAGCTATTGTGTTGGCACTTGTCACTTTTTTTTCCCTAAGAGGTCAGTGCCCCTGACTAAATAGTCAGGATCACATGTTTTCAGAATTCTTGTGGCACACTGGTTGAAAATCACTGTGCTATGAGATGGAAAGAAATTAAACTTGTTTTCCGTTATTATCTTTAGCTATCCATCTTCTGCCCACCCCTCTATGATATCACCTTTCTTTTTCCTATCTCACCTGACCTAGGTAGGTCATACTTATAATGGGAATCTGGTCATTTCCATAACACAGTGACCTATAAGTATCAGGATAGCTAAGATATATTTGTGATAACACCCCCGAAGTCTCAGCGCCATAAACCCGCACATGTTTGTATCTTACCTATGGGAACTCTGCTCATTGTAACCCCTCAGAGACCTCAGGAGACAAAGCAGCTGCCACAGTATAGGTAGCTGTTTGCCATGCTACAGGGGACAAGGCGGCGTGGTGCATCATGCCCTGGCTCATAGAGCTTCCACCTGGAGGGAATGCATATTGCTTTTGCTCACACTTCTCTAGCCAAAGCAAGTGACATGGCCCTACCCACGTCAAGGGGGACAGAGAAATGCAATATGACATGCCCAGGAGAAGAGCGGAAAATAATTGGTGGACAGCACTGATTTCTATGTTAGGTAAAAATTTTTTTCCATTCATGCCTTCCTAATATAGTTCAAACTGGAACCACATGTGTTTGTTTTTTTCAAATTTTTTTATTATTTAGGAGCATCACTGGATGAAAACCTTTAGGACTCATTGCTCTTAAGTATCTTTCAATCTATCTATATAAAAGCCCAAGTGACTGTTGCAACCGAAACAACTGAACGGACGACTGAACAGGCTGCGTGGGGCTACCAGGCCACCAGGGAGGTTAGTGAGGGATGACCAAACGACTGAGCAGTGGGCTGCGTGGGGCAACCAGGCTGGTGGGGGGGGGGAGGGGCAGTGAGGGGTGACCAAATGACTGAAAAGCAGGCTGCATGGGACAACCAGGCCGGCAGGGGGGACAGTTGGAGGTGACCAGGCCGGCTTGGGGGGTGCAGTTAGGGGCAATCAGGCAGGCAGGCAGGTGAGCAGTTAGGAGCCAGTGGTCCTGGATTGTGAAAGGGATGTCTGACTGCCAGTTTAGGCCTGATCCTAAGGGGTCCTGATGAGAGAGGGTGCAGGCTGGGCTGAGGGGACCCCCTGTGCACAAATTTCATGCACTGGACCTCTAGTCTATAAAGAAAAGGCAGAATGAATGCTACGTACATGCCTTCTATGCTGTTTGCAATTAATAGACATTTTAGATGATAAGAAACCACTATAAAATAAAGAGTGAACAACTTGGTTCTTAAAAATGAGAGAGAAGTGAAACATTCCTATATAATGACCATGCATTGCCTAGTTGCAGTATTGTCTGAAATTGTTACCTTTCTAATAAATAAAGATGTTTTAATATAGTTTTGTCTTTGCGCTTTCAGTTTCCTTGTGATAGAAATATGTGTACCTAGATATACCCCATGCTATTGAAGTCAAGTAAACTGTCAGAAAACTTGAGGACTTTAAGAGCACCAGAACAAGATTAAATTACTTTCCCTCTCTTATTCTCCAAGTGAGAACAGTCCCTTCATTTCGAACCCAATCATGACAGTATAGGAAGTAAATTAGAATCTTGGCTAAAATTAGATCTTACTAATCTGGAGCTGTAAGTTTATGTATCAAGTGTTCGGTTTAAAGTTTCCACAGAGAGTTACTGCAAAGAATTTCTGCATTGCTGTCTTCCTGCCATGCAAGAATAGCAACTAAATACGAAAAAGATATGACATGCAATTATGAGAATGTAGTCTGAAGATCTTGATGTTATCAAACAATCTCATACTTGCTAAAGTATATTATTTAGTTAATCTAGATAGTTTATGAAAGAATAGTGAAAATACCATTTGGCATACATCTTATTCTTAAAAAACTGAAGGCAGAATTATAGAAATCTAAAGGAAATATATTTTGGATTTGGAGTATATTTTACATTTCTACTTATAAAAGGATATACATTCAGTCTTTGTGTTTCATATTTAATTTAATTTGAATTAATTTCAGTATTTGATTGGTAAAATCCAAATTAACAAAATACCCCCAGTGTTACCCAAAAAATTCAATAAAACTTGAAAAAATACTCTGTTGTCATCATGTGAACTTTCCCACATTAAATGAGGCAATACTACACACTACTACACACCAATATAATTTTAGTTTAAAAACAATGAGATCACACTAGATGTGCTGTTGTGTTCTGCACGTTTTTAGTTCCTGTCAATTCATACAGAATATCCTTTTCAACAGCTGAATAGTATTACATACTTGAACAACTTTCTTTTAAGGAGAGTTGCTTTGGTTTCCAGTTACTTGCTACTTTCAAATAATGGTATTTGTTCCCAAAGAATGCCATTTCAAGATGAACAAGATGAACGTCATTACATCGTCTTTTCATGTATGTGTTTTGTGGAATTGGAGGGGGAGGGGGGGGTTAAGGTATGCTCATTTTCACTGTTGATATGTGCTGCTAAATTGTGCAATGTGCGCTCCCATTCTCTTCTAAGAGAAAACGCCCTATTCCTGACATCACCCACTGTGTATTTCAGTAAGCTTTTCATTGTCACTGATCTGATTGGAAAAAATAAATCATATTTACGTCATTTGTTGTTATGTTACTTGTATTTCACATTGCTAATGAAGTTGAGCTTCTTTTCATACTTTTGTTAGTCATTTGCCCTTCTTCTGCATATTTCCTGTTCCTGACCTTTATCCATTCTTAATATGTTCATTTTTTACTGACTTATGGGAATACTGGGCATATTAAGGATATTATCTCAGTCTTTTTGGGTTCCTGGACCCAATTCCAGTGTGTGTGTGTGTGTGTGTGTGTGTGTGTGTGTGTGTGTGTAGGGGAGAGGGGGTTACCCTATACCAATAAACAATTCTTGGACACCCTGCATCAGGATCCATAGGTTAAGTGTTCAGTCTTCCGGGACTGTTTCTTCTCCCTGGTCTCTCTGCTTTTCAGATGCCAGCTGCAAACCCACGCTCTTACTTGTACTTCTGACTAACTGGCTATAGATTGGAGGTTCCAATGATCCCCCAACTCAGAATGCCAATCGAAGGTCCAGGTTGTTATCTGTACTTCTGGCTATACATCTGAGGTTCCCACAACTCCCTCTTTATATTCAATTAATTTGCTGGAAAAACTTGCAGAACAAGATTGCTGGTTTATTGTAAAAGGATATAACTCAGTAACCACCAGATGGAGGAGATGCAAAAGGCAAGGTACATAGGAAGGGGTTGCAGAGCTTCTCTTCCCTTCTCTCTGGGCTCACCACTCCATGCACCTGCATGTGTCTATCAACCCCGAGGTTCTCTGAACCCCATCCTTTTGGGTTTTTATGGAGGTTTCATTACCTAGGCATGGCTGACTAAATTATAGATCACCAGTGATTGAACTCCATCTCTGGCTACTCTCCCCACCCTGGAGATGTGGGGGTGGGACTGAAAGCAAAAGATACTGTTATAACTCTCAACACTTATGAAAGCCCAAGGAATTTGGAACCTGTGAGTCAGGAATTTTGGAGGAAGACCAAATATGTATGAGAAATATATTTTGGTCATCTTAATAACCCAATATATATGACTGATGAATCACAACATTACATTTAGCTTGGGCTGCTATAGCAAAATACCATAGACTAGGTGGCTTACTAGTAAATAACAGAACTTTATTTCTTACATTTCTGGAGGCTAGGTCTATGATTAGGTACTTGGTGAAGGCCCTCTTCCTTGCCATCTTCTTGTTGTATTTTTATGTTGCAGGGAGTGAGAGAGAGTTGTTTCTTTTTATAAGGCACTGATCCCATCATGAAGACCCTGTCCTCATGACCTTATCTAACCCTAATCACCTCCCAAACGTCCCGTTTCCCAATACCATCACATTGTGGAGTATATGCACATCCTTATACCTTAAACATATACACTGGGGAGGGGGGGCACAATTTAGTCTAAAGTAGTTATTCACACTTAATTTTTTATATATGTTACAAATACTTTTCTTTCAGGGTACCATTTTCTTCGGCATTGAAGGGGTCTTTCACCATACAAGAATTTTTACTTGGGTGCAAAATTAATCTTTTATGAATTCATTGTTTCGTTTCTTGTTTAAAAACACTTTTTGCCGCTGGAATAAGCATTTCTGGAGGCCCCCACGGGCGGATGAGAGGGGGTAGAAAGCTTTATATGCATGGAATTACATCCCTCGGTTCTAAAGTCCCATTTCCCTTAAACCACTCCTAGAAGAGGTGCAGCAGGGGACTCAACAGAGCAAGAAGCAAAGCCAGTGTCCAGTTTCCATTCCATGGCGGAGCTGGGTCTGGTGTAGCCTCAGGCTAGTTATGGTCCATCAGTCCACCGTCTGTCGGGCCCACATAGCTGTAGGCCACGTACACAAATGCAGGGAAGCCAAGAGAGCACACCCCCTGCAACAAGAGTCCTAAGAGTCCCGCATGGACCACAAGGCAAGAGAGCAGACTCCTTTATTTAGGAGCTTAAGTATCCCAAATATTTCTGTGCTTTCAGTGGCCACGCCTACTCTGGCCCATGACCTGTTCCCAGGTGTGACTGAGAGGCAAGTTCCTTTCCTACATCACCCAGACTTCACTGGGCATGCTGCTAATACTTGCCCTTCCCTTTGCTCCTTTCCAGTTATTCATAACGAGTTTATCACATCGGTACCATCAGGACATGGCCTTTGAATTATGTTTCTAGTAAAGAAAGTACTGTGATGTAATGCTTTTTTTTCTTTTTTCCTATATGCTTTCTGTGACCAACAACAGTTTCCAGATGGTTAAGTGAATTAATTGGAAGGTGTATTAGTTTGCCAGGGCTGCTATAACAGAGTAGTACAGACTGAGTGGCTTAAACAACAGCGGTTTATTTCCTCACAATTCTGG